ATGGAAATTTACGATATTTTCTTAAAGAACACTAAGACTTTAATTTAAGTTTCATTCATTCGTGGGCGGCTGTGGCTGAGTGGTTAGAGCAGTCATCCTCCAATGCAAGAGTTGGGGGTTCGAATCCACCAGCAGTCACGTGCCGAAGTGTCCCTGGGCAAGACATTCCGATGTGTGTCCCATCAGTGTATGAATGTGATAAATCACTTATTAGTCTTTGTATAGATCTAGTAGAGTGCTGAATGAATGGATAAATGAGGACACAGATTGTAGTGTAAAGCACTTTGAGTGTCTTGATAAGATAGAAAGGTGCTACAAGTACAGACTATTTACCACTCATGCTCAGAGCTGAAAACATAAAAAATACTCTAACTTGTTCACCATGGACACAGAACACTGGTAGTCACTAATATAAAAACCTGCTATCAACAAAATGAGTTAACAAAACAAATGATCCATTCTGTGGCCGGTGCTTTATCGGTTCAGACTTCTGAACACATGTTTCACTAATTAACCACGATGTAGAATAACACGCTGCTTTGCTGTTTTAGTGTAAGCTTTTACGAGAACTTCCATCTAAATGTTTCAGTTGGATTGTTAAAAACAGCCCCCTCGTAATTGCTTTAAAGGAAAATTCTTGCGTGGGTTTCTCTGTGCATTTTATGTGCACCCGATTTGTTTTCCTTCTTGCTAATAGCTCCATGAATGTTCTTAGTCATGTCCATTTCAGCACACGGTTAATAACAACAGCTGGGGCCTTGGTCTGCGCAAACATTTTGAAACATGATTGCATTTTACCTGCTTGTTGGATCCACAAAACCCATCCGAGCATTTATATGTTCAGAGAATTTATGTTATTATCAACCTCTCTGATGTCAGTGATTCAAAGAGAGGAGACAACATCTGTGGTCTGTTCAGCGCTCGTGCTCGAAGAGACCATAGAAGCATTGGTTGTTCAAGCCAGAATGTTGTTTTCATGTTAGTTGGTTAACTCTGTGAGGGTTTCCACAACAGTTATTGTACAAATTCTTCCTAGGCTTCTTAAAGTTTTTTACACTAAACAAGAGTTGGGCAACAGTTGTCTCCAGAGGACCACATCAAGATGTTTCAAAAGGCTGCATAGGGAATTGGAAAATGACTTTTAACACTGATAATCTGGAAGACATTTTTTCGGCCTTTTTCTTGTTGTAGCGTAGCTAGCATGCTTAATAATAAAATGTGTCTCACAAATAATCTTTAGGAGCATTAGATATTTTTTTCTGTAAACTGGCTCTTCAACATAAGTTAGCCTAAATATACAAAAATTAAATACAGCATGTATGCTTGGTCTGTCTTTAATGTCCTGCTTAGTTCTGAAAACACGACGACTTAAAAGAAAAAAATTCTTAACCTATTTTAATCCAAAGGTGTTCAGTCCAACTTCCTTGTTTCACTGATGAAATGTAGGTTTTCACTAACTTATTTAAAAGTTGTTTTCTTTTCAATTAAGTAAACTGGGGGCCGCATGTCGATTGTCCAAGGACCACCTTTGGCCCTCGGGTCATATGTTGCCCACGTCTGCATTAAACTGTAAATATGTTTTAATGTCTAATGGCTGATCTGTTTATTACTGCTTCAATTCAGCTTCAGTTGTTGAAACGTCCAGGACTTCAGAGAAAATGTTGAAGTGTGCCGCTGGACAAACTCTGAAGTCCAGCAGTAATCTGAGACTCGCTTCTGCCGTAATTTAATCTGAGAAAAAAGACAACGTTTTGACGTGTAAACTGTAAAAGAAGTGGAAAGAGAACTACGATTAAAGGTAATGTTAAAACTGAAGCCAGTGGTTAATTAGGGTCGCCATGGTAACCACACAGCTGTGTCTCCTACTCCCTGACAGAACTCTTAGTAAGACAGGCAGACAGAAACACACACACACAAATACTGGTACACACAATACATACATTTTACGTAGGCTGTATATGTGTAATTATCTTGGGATTTTTGTGTTTTAAAGGATTTTTCTCATTTGTTTTTAGTTCAGTCATATTTTTTTGTTTGCAACATGTTTTCCAGTCTTCTCTCTGTCATTGTTTCCCTCAGTCATCTTTGCCTTCAGTTAAATATTCACACCTGCTCGTTGGCCTCAGCTGCACTCACTCAGTAATCACCCTTTCCTGTATATTTAAAGTTGCAGTTCATATACTGTTAATCTGTTTGATTCATGTCTAACAAGGTTGAGTCAGGTCCTCTGGAAAGCTCCTTCTTTGTTGAAACGTTTCTTCTTTCATCCAGAAGACGTCTTCAGTCTGAGGAGCTGCAGCAAACTCAGTCTTATAAAGAGCTCCTCCTCATGGTGGATCAACCAGTTTCATGGTGACAGTGACATGACAATCAAATCTTAACCCTCAAATAGTCTTCAGGGGAAATTCAGCCACAGATTTATTTTTGCTTTGTGATTACTTTATTAGAGTTGTCAATTATCACAATTAATCCTAAAACTGTTTTTATTTTATTTTGACAGAATTGTTTTAACCACTTTTGTCACTTTCCTGTCCTCTAGCATTCCTTCAGGAAAAACTTGACCCATTGAAATCCATTATACTGTCAATGTAAGTTTGAGTATATGAAATTAAACAAATCTATCCATTATCTTTACCTGCTTCTTCCTTTTTGGGTCACTGGTGCCCATATTCAGCTATCACTGTGCGAGAGGTGGGGGACACCCTGGACAGGTCTCCAGTCCATCACAGAGACAAACAACCATTCACACTCACACCTAGAGACAATTTAAAGTTACCAATCAGTCTAACATGCATGTTTTTGGTGTGTGGGAGGAAACTGGAGTACCTGGAGAAAACCCACAAATGCTCAGAGAACATGCAAACTCCACCCAGAAAGGCCCCCATCTGGGATTTGAACCGGTGACCTTCTCGCTGAGAGGCAGCACCTCTGCCAACTGCGCCACCACCGCCCATGAAACAAATCATTCTTGTCAATAGTTTTTTTCTTTTTTTAACCTCTCTCCCTACTTTGGATGTTTATATTAGCCATGAGTAGCGCTTCACTTTCACATTTGAAGGATCTTGTTGGTCAACAGCCAGCCTACCCCAAACAAGGCGTCTCCTTTGTGACTGCTGCCAGGCCTGGTCTCCCATCACATCCAACATGATTCTTTTAATTCAGCTGGAAAGAGCAAACCACACACCTATGTTGTGCACGAGGAAACATTTGGTACAAAACAGTAGATCGACACGCACACAGGCTGAAGAATAATCCACGGACGCTCAGTGTTGGGGGCTGATGGGACTGTTTTTCAGCAGTTATGGTCAGTTTTAATTCTAAATAACAGTCATAAAGTTAAAGGACAATTCGAGGATTCAAATGTTGTCGTGCAAAAATATCAAAATACCAGTTCAGTCATGTAAAGTCTAAATTTCTGTGACCCATCTCAAATTTAAATGTTCTTTCTGTGACATATGACTGATATAGCACTTCAAAGATGGGGAATATTTTTAATTTGTCACCAAAAGTCTCATCTCAACTGTGAAATATTTAACGTTTTTGTGCAAACTTACTCTGCAGTATGTACAAGTCAGAGTACAGAGTTAGTATAGTAGCTTCTGACTGAGCTTCTTCATGTGTTTTTACATCAGTTCCTCTACTGTCCAGTCAGAATTTCTGATGGAGGTGGAATAACGGTCAAACAGTAATGATAATAGTGTTTCACCAGCACCATAAAACATTATAAACTAAATAAATGTCATCCCCTGTGGACATGCAGTGTGAACACTTCCACTGAAGTTAAAACCAGCTGAAAAGGTTTCACCTCTAAACTGTTGATGAGAGTTCAATTTGAACAGATGACATAAAGAAAAACAGCAGAAATGTAACAAATGAGCAGAATAAGTTCAAATAGGCAGTAAAAGGTTGCAAAAAATCTGAAATTAGCAAGAAAACAATTGAAATCAGAAAAAAGTTGCTGGGGAAAAAAAAACTGAATTTAGCAGAAAAATAGTTCTAAGTAAAAAAAACAAAAAAACAAGTAAACGCTACAATGAACAGAAAAATGCCTAAAAAAGTAGCTGAAAAACGAACAAAAAGAAACACGCTGAAATTAGTGTAACAAAACTGAAAGGAGCATATAAAAAGTTAGAAAGAAGCTTAAAAGGTGGAAATTAGCCTAAAATAGCAGAAAAAGGAATTAAAATTAATGAGGGGAAAAACTGAAAAGTAGCTAAAAACGGCTTAGTTTAGCAGAAATAAGCTGAAATGAGCATAAAAAGTTGAAATTAGTGGAAAGAAGCTGAAAAAGCTGAACAGAAATGAGCAGTAAATGTTTTAAACAGCTCAAAGTGTTTGAAGGATGTGAAGAGAGAGCTCTGTTCATTTTCACTGAGGAAAAACATGGCTGAAAAAGCTAACTATTTAAAACAGTAAAAATTGAACAAATATCAAACGTCGCAGCAGGAAGGTCCTGAAAGAGCCGAACGTTTTGATACACGTTGAAACAGCACAAAAATTGTGCAACAAGTTACGCGCTGAACGATGTGCGGAAGAAAAACAGATTTTATGAGCGTTCCCACAGAGGAGGGAGGTCGGGAAACTTTCATCAAATTATGACTCTGATTAATAAAAAGTTAGATAAAAACATGGAGGGTGAACAGGAGGCGGGTCTTTAAAGCACCTGGAGGAGGAAAACTAAAGCTAAACGGAAAAATAAGATCAGAGGCAATAAATGATCAATGTTTCTGTTTTCACATCTTTACTGAGTCACAGTTCCAAATGACACGGGTGGGGGGGGGGGGGGGGGGGGACATAGAAACAGGAGGAATGTCACAAAACTCTTCAGTCACTGAGAAATGATTTTAAAACATCTAATGTACCAAAAGAAGAGACGATATGGAGACGTCACCCGACACACACACGACAGACGACCCTCCTCAGTCTTTACTTTGTCTGCCAGTATTTGGTAAAACCAACAGGCAGCAGCACCAGTTTACCAACAGCTCCACGATTGTCCGTCCTCTGGTGCCCCCCAGTGGCAGTTTACAGCTGATCCAGGAGGAGGGACACAGTTACACAGCAGGGATGAAAGAGGGGAGGAAAACTGCTTCCTGTCACATTTACATCCTGAGACTCTGAGGGAGTCACACGAACATCCATGATCCGATTGGTCAGTATCCATTTCCACTATAAAAGCCACACCTGAAGTGTGTGGCACCGCAGGTGTGTGTGTGACTGCTGTTCACACACACACACGCAGCACAGTCACTGACTCGTCCCGTCAGTGTAACAGAGGGATCTTCACCTCTGAGCTCCGTCCGGTTCCTGTGTCTTCACAGGCGGCGGCCTCGGTCAGGCTCCTGTCAGAGTCTGTGGCTGACAGTGGGTGACCCCTCTGACCTCTGACCCAGGGGTCTAGCACAGGTCAGAGACGTAGTCGAAGTCTTTAAAATAGTCCTGCTCCCTGCGGGAGAGGGCACGGCGCTCGCGCGGCGGCGTGAGGGTGGGCGCCTCGGCCGTGAACTCCGCGTCGAAGTTGCTGACGTCGTCTTTTGCTGCGATGGTCGGAACAAAAGGGGGCGGGACTTTCCTCTGAAGAAGGGCCTCCCAGTCCAGACCCTAAACGATGGCAGACATACTATTTTAGCACAGGTATAGTTAAGTTTCTCTTTTCAAAACATACATCTTCCAGACTCACTCTGAAAAACAGTTGTTTCTTGACGTCCTCGGCGTCTTTCTCCCCCGAGCCAAGACGCCGCTCAGGATTTCTTCTCAACAGCTGGTGAGACGAGACAAACCCAGCTGTCATCTCAGGGCTCAGTTTATGGAAAGACAAAATGAACGTACAGCAGGAAGTGTTACAGGTGGATTACTAACCCGTCTCATGATGCCGATGGCCTCAGTGGAGAGGAAGCGCGGGTACCGCACCTCATCGTTCACTATACTGTCAAACACCTCCTCTTCATCGTCACCTGGGAACGGAGACTGAAACAAAGTTCTTGTTTCACTACAGGTATTCAACTTTAGTGAAGCCATTTTACAGAAACAGTCAAATTAATGCTCCTGCAGGAACTGCTACAGCTAGCTGCTGCTGCTTGCAAATAATCAAAGAACTCCAAATAAAACAAGAAAAATGAGTGGTACGCTGATGTCTCCTGTCTCTGAAGGGTTTGAATAGTGAAAGTTTGTAGTTTATGAGTTGAGTGTTTTTCTGGACTGGGAGTAAACCTTAATGGTTTTGGTGCAAGATGTTCCAGTGGGCAGTTGCACTGTGTAGAACAGAGGTAGTTTTTCTTGTCTGAGGCGGCACAGAGTGACAGATCCTGGTGAATGGAGGGAGAAATTGTATCCATCAGGTGCAGTGGAGGAGCCAGGGGATGGCCGATGGTGGCCTTGACCATCATAGATTAATATAAAAACTAGAAAGCATAGATTCCTTTAAGGATAGCAGTGGTTGGTTTACTTATTTTTGGTGGTGGCCATCTTGAGTTTTGACGTGGCAAAGCAATTTACAATAGTGACCTTGGAAATGGAAGTCAGTATTTTTCAAATTATCTCGTTCACAACATGCTCGGACGGACAGAGGGCATTTCCAGTTCTCCTGCGACGGCGGACAAAATCTGTGTAAAGTATGAGTGTCAAGGGTGTACAGGGTTCTGAAAAAGTGTTTGCATGAAACTTTATGAAAAGTTTGAAACGAGTCGTTTCAGAGAGACAGAAATCTACTTTGTCTTGTTCCGACTAGCCATTAGCTCGTCCACTCAGTCATAATCTGATCAGAATTCAGTGTTTCCCCTACCATTATCCAAGGAGGGCGCCCCGCCCTGTCAACAGAACTGAGTGCCCCGCCTACCCAAATTGTCCTTCACACACACACACCCCCGTCAACAACTGTCGGCACTGACGTAGCGCTAAGCTAGCCGTGCGCTAAAAAGTTACATAGGTAATGCTCTGCTTCCCTCACGCTAAGTCATATAACACCGCCACAACATGCTCTAAAAATTTTGGTAAAAACAACCACAGACATAACTGGTTTGTTCCACTTTGGAGTAAACCGTTTGGGGGAAGAACCAGTTTTGTTGTGTGTTTCCTTGACTGATGAAGTCTTCCAGATGGAAGGCAAAACGTTTCAGAAAAAAAGGAAACTGTCCAGATGACCTGACTGAAAAATGTTGGATTGTATACCTGGATTATTGAGCATGGACTATTTTTGGTTTAACAACCACAGACGTTGCTCTGTTTGCACGCCCCTCCCCCCCCTCGACAAAAAAAAAAATCACGGAAGAGATGAGCGCCTTGACAAGGCAAGTAAACTAGGGGAAATACTGCAACAGGTAAGACACTTATTGTTTGTACCTTTTCTACTGCAGAGATGTGAAGTTTTGCTTTAGGCCATTTGCTTTTTTCTCCTGCTGTAGTAACTCAGTAGTAGAAAAAGATCAAATTCAATTTTCTCTAATACACTCATATGTTCTTTAGACTATAATTCTTTGTAACAAAAGGACAAATTGTTGAAAATGTTAAAGTTCTGTTCAGTGCACACATTTACCACGTGTTGGGAGACTGAATGAGGTCATCAAGAACATGACGACCACTTTAACAGAATGATGACGAGTGTGTAGAGAACCACAGCTTCTCTACCTGCCTGCTATTTATTATTTATTAACCTTTATTTAACCAGGAAAATCCCATTGAGAACGCAGATATTTTTTTCAAGGGAGGCCTGGACCTGAAGGCAGCCTAACATGCATGTTTTTAGTCTGTGGGAGGAAACCGGAGTACTCGGAGAAAACTAACGCAAGCATAAGAAGAACATGCTAACTCCACACAAAAAGACCCCAGGTCCAACCGGGGATTGAACCCAGAATCTTCTTGCTGTGAGGCAACAGTGCTAACCACTGAACCGTTGTGCTATGAGGTCCTGGTGGGGTTTTTATGACATCATTTGGACCCAGCATCCTGTTTCCTGTCTCTGGCTGCTTGATGCATCTTTACATTTCCCAAAGAAATATAAGTCTCCTGAATCTCCATATTCCACCCTCAACATGAACATCAGAGCGTAGGATTTGACGTTTTCTCGACAGGCAGCTTCCCTCTCACCTCTCCCACCAACATCTCGTAGACGAGCACGCCGAGCCCCCACCAGTCGACCGCTCTGGTGTACGACGTGTCTGTCAGAACCTCCGGGGCCAGAAACTCAGGAGTACCACAGAATGTGCTGGTTCTGTCTCCATAACCCATACCTGGAGATGGAAAACAGGTAATAAGAGTGGAGAACCACAAAATGAAGGCTAGTTTAAAGCTTCTACACTTGGACTTTGAGCAGGCACCTTCTTTACAGAGACCAAAGTCTGCAATCTTCACATAACCCTCGGTGTCAAGGAGCAGGTTGTCTAATTTCAGATCCCTGAAAAGAAATCCAGAGTTGATGCAACACCTCGGAGTGAATCAGCTGAAGGACGTCGAACAACTCACCGGTACACGATCTTATGTTCGTGAAGGAACTGCAGACCCAAGACGACACAGGCTGAGTAGAACCTAAGCAAAGACAGAACTTTACTCTACCAGATCATGAAAATCATTGACAGACTGGATCTTCAGTGGTTTCAGAACTCACATGGCACGTGGCTCTGAGAAGACGTCGGCATGGATGTGCATCATGAGGTCTCCTCCCGCCGTGTACTCCATGACAAAGCACACGTGCTCGGGCGTCTGGAAACATGCAAACAAGTTGACCAGGAAGGGATGGTGGGAGCTGTTGACGGTCTCAAAGATCCGTTTCTCACACATGAGGCTGAGGAGACAGACGGGTGGAGCGTGAGGTGAAGGAGCTGCTTTGTGTGGGTGAAAACGTGAAGGTTAAAGCGCCGTTACCTTTCTACTTCATCCCTCGCCACGATGTCTCCCTTCTTCAGGGCTTTGATGGCGTACAGGCTGCCCGTCTTTTTATACTCAGCCAGCAACACCTAAACAATGCAGGAAAAGCTTACTACAAACCAAACACAACTTGTGTGAGCTCAATATTTTTATCAACCACCAATGAAAAATGCAGCAATATTGGGCTTTTCTTAATCCTGTTGGGAAAACTGAACAATAAATACCTTCCCAAAGTGGCCTCGGCCGAGAACTGCAACCATTTTGAAGTCCTGTAAGGAAAGAGGGCCACTGCTGGCTCTGAGAGAGAAAATGACCACAAAACAATTAAAACATGAAAAACTCTAAGGCCCAATCTACACTACCCCTGATAAGTTTTTTTTTTTTTTTTTTTTTACTTTTCTTTGTCCAAACATTCTTAAAAAGATGCTAAAATATCCAGTCAACCACAATGATAACATCAAAATACAGAGAACATCAGCTGCTAACATGGGTCCAAACATAAAGAAGTGAAGCACTTTTTGTAAAAAGATACATTTTGTGGCCCACATGATGCACATATACAAGTAATGATGTGTTCCTGTTGAGTAAATTGTGTATGTTTTAGGTTAAAAGGTGGGAAAGTTACACCATAGTACAGTATTGTAGTCCCTCGTTTATCACAGGGGATTTGTACCCTGAAGACCTGCGATAAGTGAAAAACCACGAAGTAAGAATAGTAGTACAAGTAGTAAGTAGTATCCATTCATTATCTTCCGCTTGTTCCGAAGTCGGGTCGCGGGAGCAGCAGTTTGAGCAGGGAGGCCCAGACATGTCTTTCCACAGCCACCTCTTCCAGCTCTTCTGGGAGGATTCCAAGGCATTCCCAGGCCAACCAAGGGACAGAGTCTCTCCAGCGTGTCCTGGGTCTTCCCCCATAGCCTCCTCCCAGTCGGACATGCTCAAAGCACCCCCCTAGGGAGGCATCAAGGGGGCATCCTTACCAGATGCCCGAACCACCTCAACTGGCTCTTCTCGATGTGGAGGAGCAGTGGTTCTACTCTGAGTCTCTCCTGGATAACCAAACTTCTCACCCCATCTCTAAGGGCGAGTCCAGCTACTCTGCAGAGGAAACTCATTTCAACCGCCTGTCTCCACAATCTCATTTTTTCTGTCACTACCCAGAGCTCGTGACCATAGGTGAGGGTAGGAACATAGACCCTGAGTAAACAGAGAGTTTTGCCTTACAGCTCATCTCTCTCTTCACCACAACAGACCGGTACAGAGTCCACAATACTGCAGAGGCTGCACCAATTCGTCTGTCAATCCCACACTCCATTCTTCCCTCACTCATGAACAAAACCCCGAGATACTTGAACTCCTCCCCTTGATGCAGAACCTCACCCTCGATCTGAAGAGAGCAATCCACCCTTTTCTGGTCGAGGACCATGGCCTCAGATTTGGAGGTGCTGATTCTCATCTCAGCTGCTTCACACTCCGCTGCAAAACGCTCCAGTGAGAATTGAAGATCACGGCATGATGACGCCAACAGGACCACATCATCTGCAAAGAGCAGAGATGGAATCCTGAGGCCACCAAACCAAAAACTCTCCACCAGCTGGCTGCACCGAGAAATTCTGTCCATAAAAGTTATGAACAGAATCGGTGACAACGGGCAGCCCTGGTGGAGTCCAACTCCCACCCTGAAGGGGTCCGACTAACTACCGGTAATGTGAACCAAGCTCTCGCATCGCTTGTATAGGGACTGAACAGCCCGTTGCAACAGGCCTCCAATCCCATACTCATGGAGCACCCCCCCCACAGTGTACCCCAAGGAACACGGTCGAATGCCTTCTCCAAATCTACAAAACACATGTAGACAGGATGAGCGAACTCCCATGACCCCTCGAGGACCCTAGTGAGGGTAAAGAGCTGATCCAGTGTTCCACAGCCAGAACGGAACCCACATTGTTCCTCCTGGATCTGAGGTTCGACCAACAATCAGACTCGATTCTCCAGTACCCCTGAATAGACCTTACCAGGGAGGCTAAGGAGAGTGATGCCCCTATAATTGGAGCAGACCCTCCAGTCCCCCTTTTGAAGAGGGGAACCACCACCCCAGTCTGCCAATCCAGTGGCACTGCCCCCGATGTCCATGCGACGTTGCAAAGGCGTGTCAGCCAAGACAGCCCCACAACATCCAGAGCCTTAAGGAAATCAGGGCGAATCTCATCCACACCCGGAGCCCTGCCGCCTCTGAGCTTTTTAATTACCTTGGCAACCTCAGCCATGGTTATGGATGGAGCAACCCCAAAGTAGTAGTAGTAAGTAGTAGTTTATTTTATTATAAATATATGTATATATAAAGGTGTTTTAAACCCTTCCCACACTCTTCCAATATTCTAAACAATGTTTCTAAACTCTAAACGCTCTAAAATCACACAGAATGTCATGATTTCAGCTCTCTGCCTCCTCTGCTCTTTGCCACCTGCAAGTCCTCTTGGCCACGCCCACTTCTCCACTCTGCGCGGAGAACAGCTGATCAGCTGCAGCAGGAAGTTTATCCTGCAGTATGGGCTTCACAAAGGTGCAGGAGGTGCTAAATAGTTTAAAATAATTTATTTTAAATAAAAATGTCATGCTGATTGTTTGTCATGTCAATCTTATTTTGAAAAACCATGATAAACGAACTGCGAAGTAGCGAGGGACTACTGAGTACTGTTAAGGTTTGCTCATTTTAATTTATTTGGATCCTATGTAGCTCTCGTGTTGCAACTTTTACTACCGTTAGCGCATGAGACTGCATGTGAGGTACGTGTGATGTTTTAAAGTTAATATGTTCATGCTATAGACGTTCAAAATTACCAATAAATCTGGGGCAAACAGCAGTGGAGATCACAGAACTTGTTCTATCTAGTATCAGATACATAAAGAGGGTATTGTCTTACTACCATGTTTCTCAGTACACTGCAGGGATAACAGCGTTTCTGGATGGTGCTCACTGGATATCACTTTGAGCTCAAAGGACAAGACTGAAAGTCAATGTTGGAATTCAAATGCAGATTAAAGCTCCATCATGCAGATATTATTCTTTTGACAATATAAACTGTAGGTGATGGGGTATTAATGTATTCCTAATTTTACATTAAGGCACATTATTCAGACACAGTTCCTCTATTTTTAGATGTAGTTTTTCCCAGACTGGTGAACCTCTGCCCATCTTTACTTCTAAAAGATTCAGACCCTCTAAAATGCTCTTTTTATACCCAGTCCTCTTACGGACCTGTTGCCAATTTAATTAATAAGCATAATTGGCAAAATGCTCCTCCATTTGTTTATTTGTACCATTTTACAGTGTTGCCCCTTCCTCAAATTCAAAATTACTTGCTTTTAACTAAAAATTGTAAAATTTCTCAGTTTCACCATTTTATATGATCAATATGTTCTATTGAAAATAAATTACAAGTTATTGAAATTTGCCAATCATTGCATTCAGTCTTACACAATGTCCATTTTTTTCATCTCTGATGTAGTTTACAGTTTCTACTTGGTTCTGAACCATTTTAAGACATAAATAAAGTTAGGTGGCGACAGGATCAAGATCAAAGTTAAGGCAGAGGTAGAAAAACCCAGTAAAAACAGCTCCATGGTTGTTTTGGTTTCGGTGAAAGCAACCATACAAAAAACAGGAAGCTACAAAGACTTTCTGAACAGTTACGTACTTCTAATCCACAACCAAAGAATTGAAAACCCATTTTTTCGTCTTATGAAAAGTTTGTTTTTCTCATCAAAACTGTGGGAGTTCTGCTCTGTCAGCTCCCTGCAGCCACAGCTAACTAATCAGCAGCACCTGAGGATCATCGGCTTGATGAGCAAGAGGAGCACAAAAGGCTGCAGAGGACATCCAGTCAGCGCTGGAGCACTACCTGCCAATGGTAGTTCTGTTCTTGCCTTTTACTTGCCTTGAAGTTAAACTGAATATTAACTACTATGTATTTCTCCATGCTTCCAGTAAATAATCCCTGATGTCCTCCTGTCCCCTGAACCCTCCTCTGTGGACCTCGAGCTCTCCTGTGCCTCCACACCTTCCTACCACTTGCCTGTCTTCTGCCATTGTTCAGACGAACACCTTCATCCCAGGGAACCATTGGGTCAGCTCTCCTCACAACTGACTCCTACTTCTATCATAAGAAAGAGCCGCATCAACATTATCACCCCTGCTGACAAACCACTAACTATCTCCATGCTCTTCAGGGTTCCAGCTCCCTCCCTGACTCATTGAATGAATTATCACCTTGTAAATAAACACCGTAAATATGTTTTGAGTCTTGGTACAGTATCTGTTCTCCTCATCCTTGTATCTGGGTATACAGTAGTCCCTCGTCCATACCCTGAAGCTCCGTGATAAGTGAAAAACTGTGAAGTAGGAATAGTAGTACAAGTTATAAGTAGTAGTTTATTTTAGCATTCATATATATATATATATATATATATATATATATAT